TGCAGCAGCAGCAGCAGCAGCAGCAGCAGCAGCAGCAGCAGCAGCAGCAGCAGCAGCAGCGGGCGGCGCCGGCGGACTGCCCGCCGCCGTGGCCGCGGAGCGACAGCCCGGGCGCGGGCGAGAGGCCCGCAGCCGCCAGCAGCAGCAGCAGCAGCAGCAGCAGCAGCAGCAGCAGCAGCAGCAGCGGCGGCGCGGCGCGCTGCAGCAAGCGGGCGCGGCGGGGGGCCCTCTACTCCGAGGGCGATCTGCTGCGGTGGTTCCTCGACGTGCCTTCGCCTCCAGATGATTATCCTTTTTCGATTTTCTCTTTCGTGAGAGCAGCAGGAGGGGGCATAGGCTGGGCGCGGGGCCTCTACGGCAAAATGGCAGCAGAAGAGGCTTTGCTGCAGCAGCGCCCGCCCCCCCCAGCAGCAGCAGCAGCAGCAGCAGCAGCAGCAGCGGCGGCGGCGGGGGCAGGGGCGGAGGGGGCAGGCAAGACGCCTGCGCCGCAGGCTCTCCTTCCTGCTGCTGCTGCTGCTGCAGCAAAGGCGCCCGCTGCTGCTGCTGATTCGGCTTCTCAGGAAGCAGCTGCGGCTGCAGGGGAAGCAGCCGCAGACCCAGCAGCAGCACCCGAAGCAGCAGCAGCTGTGGGACCAGCAGCAGCAGCAGCTGCGGCGCTTCCTGCAGCAGCAGCAGCTGCTGCAGGACAGGCTGCCGACGCTTTGGAGGGCAGGGGAGTTCAAAGAGGCGCAGCTGAGGCTGCGCCAGCAGCAGCAGATGCAGCAGCAGCAAGTGCAACAGCAGCAGCAGACGCAGCAGCAGAAGCAGCAGATGCAGCAATGGCAGCGCCGCCAGAGGATGGGGGACGGCCTGCAGGGCTTCTGCGGGCCGCGTCTTTCCCCGAAGCGGAGCAGCAGCAGCAGCAGCAGCAGCAGCAGCGGCTGCCGGTGGCTCCCCCGCGGAAGCAGCAGCAGGAGCCACCGCCCGTTCCTGCTGCTGCTGCTGCTGCTGCTGCTGCTGCTGCTGGGCCCCCCGCTGTGGTATTAGACAGAGGCATAAGTGCTGTTAGTTCTGCAGCAATTGGGAAGTTTGCAGGAGAGTGGTTTGGCCCCACAACAGCATCTGCTGCTATCAAGCTGCTTGTGGAGTCTTCGCCCTTCACCGCGGTAAGCTGCAGCAGCAGCAGCTGCAGCTGCTGCTGCGGCAGCAGCTGCAGCAGCAGCTATGCACTGCTTAATGAGCGCAGCAGCGGGAGCTGGCACAACGAGTGCTGTGGGGGTGGCAGTCTAGGGCTTGCTGCTGTTGCTGTTATTTCTGCTGCTGTTGCTGTCGCTGCTGCTGCTGCATCCGCTTCTGGTTCTGCTGCTGCGCTTGCTGGACCTTGTTTTTCGTAGCCGTGGAGACCTAGGGTGTTGCGTTGCGCTGCTGCTGCTGCTGCTGCTGCTGCTGCTGCTGCTGCTGCTGCTGCTTTCAGGGAGAAGTGTACGTGTACCTGGACACTGACGGCCTAATGGATGCAAAGGAAATCGACCGGCAGTGTCGATTGCCTTCGACAGTGCCATCTGCTGCTGCAGCAGCAAGGCGCCACCAGCACCTGCGGCAGCAGCAGCAGCAGCAGCAGCAGCAAAAGCAGCAGCAGAAGGCCCCCTGCGCTGACGACGACTGGGAGGAGGTCCCCTCGGCGTCCTTCTCCCCCGCCGATGAACACAGCAGCAGCGGCGGCAGCGAGAGCCCCAGCAGCAGCAGCAGCAGCAGCAGCGAGTTCAATGGAAAGACAAGGAGCGAGGAGGAGTTCGGCCCTGGCTGCTGCGAGGAGTCCGGCAGCCCCAGCCCGACTTCAGCAGCAGCAGCAGCAGCAGCAGCAGCAGCAGCGGGGCCCACGGCAGCAGCAGCAGGTTCAACAAGAACAGCAGAAGCCGAGGCTGGGGAGGAGGACCCTTTCAAGGCGCCTGCGTCGCCGCGGTGGGCGAGCGATAGGAACAGCAGCAGCAGCAGCAGCAGCAGCAGCAGCGGCAGCAGCAGCAACCGCTCAGCTGGCGACACCTCCAGTAGGAGAAGTTTGACGGTCGATTTTTTATCGGGTCGGGGAATCCCTGCAGCAGCTGCCTCGCCGAGCCCTGCTGCAGCAGCAGCGGGCGCTCCCGCTGCAGCAGCAGCCCCCGCTGCAGCAGCAGCAGCAGCAGCAGCAGCAGCAGCAGCGAGCCCGAGCGGCTGCGCCCCGCGCGCGTCCACTCCGCAGGCGTTCCCGCGCGGCGCCGCGAGCTTTGCCGCGCCCGCGAGCAGCAGCCGCAGCAGCAGCAGCCGCCGCAGCAGCAGCAGCAGCAGCAGCAGCAGCAGCAGCAGCGGGGAGTGGGTGCGGGGCTGTTTGCTGCTGTTTCCCCTCAAGGTCAGCAGCGGCGAAGGCATCCACGAAGGCTACGTGAGGCCCCTCGTGGCTTATATGTCGCTGCCGTGGTCTTTGGGGATGATAGCTGGCCGTGGGCAGCAGGCCTTTTTCTGCATAGGATACCAGGGCGACTGCATGCTTTACCTCGACCCCCACTCCAGGATCCAGGTGCTGCTGCTGCTGCTGCTGCTGCGGGGGGAGGGGTGGGTGGACGGGGCGCAGCGGGGAGGGGAACGGGCGGGAAGCGTGGCTTTTGGGTGGTGGTTTCGATTCCACAGAGCGTACTGATTTCGCTAGCGAGCTGCTGCTGCTGCTGCTGCTGCTGCTGCTGCTGCTGCTGCTGGTGTTTGTGGCTGCAGTCGCCTGCGTTGGAGCTGGGTTTTGCGACGCAAATGTCTCTCTTTGGCAGCAAGCCGTGGAAGCAAGGCCTGGGCCACTTGAATGCTTCTTTTGCGTTGGCTTTTTATGTGGGGTCTCCGCTGCAGCTGCTGCTGCTGCAGCAGGAGCTGCAGCGGATAGAGCAGCAGCACCCCTCCTGCTGGCTGCTGTCTGCGGGGAAGCCGCACTCCCAGCTGAAGCCGCCGAAGCGCCCGAAGCCCCCGAGACACCGGCGACACCCGCAGCAGCAGCAGCAGCAGCAGCAGCAGCAGCAGCAAACGGCTTGCGAAGCCAAGTATGCCTCTCGTGGCGGCCGCTGAGTGGCAGCTGCCCAGACAGACCCGCAGACTGCTGCGCAGGCCGCCGCTGCTGCTGCTGCTGCTGCTGCTACTGCTGCGCAGCAGGGGCCCCACACTTGTTTGCATGCACTGTGGGGTGTTTTTGGGGCTTTTTGCCCCGGGGTTTGCTGCTGCTTTTGGGGCTTCTTCGAGTGTCTTTAAAACTCCTTCTTTGTCTTTAAAAAGTCCTTTCCAGCTGCCCTTGCGCGCCTCGCTGCTGCTGCAAAACAGCTTGCTGCTGCTGCTTTGTTTCCTAAAGACTAGCAGCTTGAGTTTGTGTCTTGCTGCTGCGGCTTAGTTCCCTTTCCAAGCCAGAGAGGGCGGCGCCCACGGCGGCAGCAGCAGCCAGGAGCCAACAGCCAAAGGTGAGAAGCACATGCGAATCCAGATAGCTAGCTAGCTAGCTAGCTGGCTAGCTGGCTAGCTAGCTAGCTAGCTGGCTAGCTAGCTAGCTGGTTAGCTGGCTAGGCAGACGGCAAGGTGGACAGGCAGGTAGACAGCCAGCAAGCTAGGTAGCTCGCCTGCTATCTAGCCAGCTTGGTAGCTAGGAGGGAGGGAGCCAGCTGGACAGCTAGCTAGGCAGCTAGCTAGGCAGCTAGCTAGCTAGCTAGCCAGACAGGCAGCTAGCCGGGCAGGCACGCAGGTGATAGCTAGCTAACTGGCAGCTGCAGCGGGGGATGTACAGCGAATTGGCTGTCAGTGGGGTGTTTGTACTGCTGCTTTTGTGGCTGCAGTTGCAGATCCCACTGCAGCAGGGACCGGCTTCGCCGCAGCAGCAGCAGCCGGAGCTGCAGCAGGAGCAGCAAGACAGCGAGCAGCAGCAGCAAAAGAGAAGCTGCTTGAGCCTGGCGGTGCCCTCTTGTGTGCAGCCGCTGTGCCGGGCGACGGACTTTCCCTCTTCGAACGAGTCGTGGCTGTTTGCCCCGCAGCAGCAGCAGGAGCAGCAGCAGCAAGAGCAGCAGGAGCCGCAGCAGCAGCAGCAGCAGCAGCAGCAGGAGCAGCAGGAGCAGCAGCAGGAGGAGTACCGCGGGGGCCTCAGGAGGCACATGTGCCTCACCATTCCCTCCTCCCCGCTGGACACTCCGCAGTCTTCTGAGGGCTTCGTGCTGCTGCAGACAAGAGGACAAATCAGCAGCAACCAAACTTCTCCAAGACAAACAGATTTGCTGACAGAAAGAACTTTGGCTTGTTTGCTGCAGGTGTCGCCGCAGGAGTGGGCGCAGCTGCTGCAGCCCCGCAGGGCCATAGAGTGCGGCGCCTACGCGCTGCCTGCTGCAGCAGCGGACGGCTGCTGCAGCAGCGGCAGCAGCAGCAGCAGCAGCTGCAGGACGCGCAGGGGCAGCAGCTGCAGCAGCTGCAGCAGCTGCAGCACGCTCCAGTTTGCTTCTCCTCGCCCGCCATCTTCAGCTGACGTTTTATATACTGACGAATTCGTCTCAGTGCCTTCCCCGCCTCTCAGCAGCTCGAGGCGCTTTCTGCTGCCCCCGGCCCCTGCTGCTGCTGCTGCTGCTGCTGCACCACTGCAGCAGCAGCACCCCCACCAAATGCAGCTCATGATCCTGCCCCAGCAGCAAACGCTGCTCCAGCGAATGCAGAAAGAATGCACTGAACTGCCGCCACCTCTGAGCAGCAGCAGCAGCAGCAGCGGCAACCACTCGGGTTCCGCCGAGCAGCAGAAGCAGCAGCAGCAGCGAGACAAGCAGCAGCAGCAGCAGCAGCAGCAGCAACAGCAACAGCCATTGCAGGAGCCGCAGCACCCCAGCGGCGCTGCCGGGATGCTTCGCTCCCTATTCTCGCTCTCCTTCCGTGGCTATTCCAAAGGAACGCCTGTTGCAGCTGTCTTTCCCGCTGCAGTCAAAGAGCCAACAAGCAGCAGCAGCAGCAGCAGCAGCAGCAGCAGCAGCAGCAGCAGCAGCAGCAGCCGGCAGGAAGCAGAAGCTGCCTTGTCCCCTCGCAGCAAACAACAGCTTGATGTTCCTTCAACGAGTGCTGTCACTCCAGAAGAGCCTCAGGGGGCCTGCTGCTCTCCGTCGAAAGCGCAGCAGGGCCGTGTCTCAGGCAAGACGCAGCAGCAACAGCAACAGCAGCAGCAGCAGCAGCAGCAGCAGCAGGTGGCTTCCCCCATGTCTGGTGATGTATTTGCTGCTGCGACGGGGCCTGGGCACAAGACTGGAGTAGCAGCACTTGGAGGAGCCCCGAGCCCAGCAACAGGACTTGAGGCTGCAGCAGCTGTTGCTGCGGCAGAGCCAGCAGAAGCTGCTGCTGCCGCAGCAGCAGCAGCAGCAGCAACTGCTGCAGCGGCGACAATCCCTGAAAAGCAGACCTACAGGACTGTGCGCCCCCTTTCCAGCAGCACTGTTGAGGAGCAGCTGCAGCAACTCGAAGACCTGCAGCAGCAGCTGGAGCTCAAAATGAGTGTGCGGCAGCAGCAGCTGCTGCGGCAGCAGCGGCAGGGCCGCGCGGTTGCAGAGCAGCAGCAGCTGCAGCAGGGCGAGGGTCTGCTGCATCCTGCCGAGATGGGTTTTCAGGCGCACAGCGCTCCCGCCGCGACGGCAACAGCAGCAGCAGCAGCAGCAGCAGCAACAGCAGCAGCAGAATTTTCTTCTTTTGGGGCATATATGCCAGAGGAGGGATTTGCAGGCCCCCGCTGCTGGCGCTCAATGAAAGCAGCTGCAGAAGCAGCAGAAGCAAGTTTCGAGGCAGAGTCCCCATTGTGTCTCACTACGACCGCCCCAGCAGCAGCAGCAGCAGCAGCAGCAGCAGCAGCAGCAGCAGCCCCGCTCTGCAGCAGCTCCGAGACCCCTGCTGCACCTGCCCGCAGCAGGCGGCAGCAGCGCAGAGCCACAGACCACCGGCAGCACCGCTTGGAGCCTTATAGAGAAGGTGTGGGGCGGCCGCTTAGGTTAGCAGCAGCAGCAGCAGCAGCAGCAAGAAACCAGGGTAGGGCCTCGCTGTGGGTAGACCTTGTGGGGCCCCCCGGGGGGCCCCCGGGGGGGCCCCCGGGGGGGCCCCCCGGGGGGCCCCGCTGGGGGCCCCCTGAGGGGGCCCCTGGGGGCCCCGGCAGTTGCGGGCCCGCGGGGCCCGAAAGGAGAGAGGAACTGTCTTGGGCGCTGGCAGTGCTGCCGAGCCAGGAGCAGGAGATGCTGGCAGCTGCTGCTGCAGTTTCTGCTGCTGCTGCTGCTGCTGATGACGGGGGACGGCGCGAGGCTGCTGCTGCAGCTGCTCTGAGTGAAGGCAGCGAGAGCACCAGCAGCAGCAGCTGCAGCTGCAGCACATTCAGCAGCCCCTGGGTTGAGGCTGTGCCTTCCGCCCCGGGCTGGACCTCAAGCGACAGCAGCTGGATGGAACTGCAGCAGCAGCAGCAGCAGCAGCAGCAGCAACGGCAGTGCCTGCAGCAACAAGGCACGAAGCACGAGCAGCACAGCGGCCAGCGCTACCTGTTCGAACACAAGCATCGGGAGAAGCAGCTGCTGCTGCAGCAGCCCTGCCAAGAGCGTCCAGAGCAGCAGCGTGCACGGCAGCAAGAAGCAGAGCAGCAGCAGCAGCAGCAGCAGCAGCAGCCAAAACGACACCACAGTGAGAGGCTGCAGAGCTGCAGCAAGGAAGTCTCTCTCCTGCATGCTTCGCAACAGCAGCAGCAGTATCAGCACAACCTGGAGAAGCAACAGCAGCGGCTGCAGCTGCAGCAGCGGCAGCTAGGGAACCACAGAGTTTCAATTTCCAGCAAATATGAACAGCTGGCTCAGCAGCAGCAGCAGCAGCAGCAGCAGCCGGAGGTGGAGCAGCAGCAGCAGGACTGCTACGTTGAAGTGTCTCCGGTAGAGGTGCACCCGTTGCACTACAGAACCACGGAAGCTGCAGCAGCAGCAGCGAGAGCTGCAGCAGCAGCAACAGTGGCAACAGCAGCGAGAGCAGCAACGAGCCGCTTCGCCCAGCTGGCGTCGCACACGATAAGATGCGGCAGCAGCAACAGCAGCAGCGGCAACAACGCCAGCAGCAGCAGCAGCAGCAGCAGCAGCAGCAGCAACAGATGGAACATCAAGGGCCTCCAGCTGTCAGGTATACAACAGAGCTTCTCGGGCCCTGCTCGCTGCAGCTGCAGCAGGCGACTCGGCCGCACTGACGCGGAAAGCGACAGCAGCAGCAGCAGCAGCAGCCACAGAAACTCCTGCTGCTGCTGCTGCTGCTGCACACCGCGCTGCACAGACAGCGGGCGGCGCCAGCGCTCCGCAGTCGCATCAGCAGCAAGATTTGAGGGGTCTTTCCACTACTGGGGAGCAGCAGCAGGAACAGCAGCAGCAGCAGCAGCAGCAGCAGCAGGTGCTACTGCAGGAGATGGCGCGTCCCCAGCTTTCCACCGCCGTAGAAGAGCTGCATGCAGTAGCAGCAGCAGCAACAGTGACAGCAGCAGCAGCAGTAGCGGCGGCAGCAGCAACAGCAGCAGGGAGGCCTCTCTAGGCCATTCTTGGGGCCACAGCTGGGGGCCAAAAGTAGCTTCAGGTCAGTTTGACATGAAAAGCAGAGCAAGGAAGAAGCAGCAGCAGCAGCAGCAGCAGCAGCAACAACAAATGGACAGACGCTGCAGCAGCAGGCTGAGTCAGGCCAGGATTTGGGGGCCCCGAGAGGAGGGCCTCCGAGGGAAGCGCGGCGGCATTTTTTGGCAGCAGCAGCAGCAGCAGCAGGAGCTGCAAGAGCAGCTGGAGGTGGAACGGGAGGAGCAGCTACAGCTCCTGCAGCAGGAAACGCAGCAGCAGCAGCAGCAGCAGCAGCAGCATGTTCGTAGGCAGCAGCACTTAGTCTCGTGCTCCCATCTCATTGTTGCTGCTGGAGCGGAAGCAGACCTGGCTGAGGCTGCTTCAAAGGTGGGCCTTAGCCCGTGGGGTGAAGGCAACGCTGCTGCTGCTGCTGCTGCTGCTGCTGCTGCTGCTGCTGCTTCTGAAGATGAGTCAGCGGCCGTAGACCCCGTTCCAGTGTTCCCCAGCGCTCGGCCGCAGCAGCAGTATCACCATCATTATCAGCAGCAGCAGCTGCTGCAGCAGAAGCAGCAGCGAGTCTTTGCTGCTGCTGGCGCAGCTGCTGCTGCGCAACCTCCCACAGAGGGCAGCAGCTTGCTGCAGAAGCAGCAGCAGCTCTCGGCCCCACTGACTAGGGGCTCCTCCACAGTAAGGGGAAGCAACAGCTGCAGCACGATGAATATGCTGTCATCTGCTTCGCTGAGCAGCAGCAGCAGCACTGAGAGCAGCAGCAGCAGCGTCAGCAGCAACGAAAGATGCGCCATGACTCCTGCTGCTTCTCTAGGGTCGTCCCCCGCAGCTGCAGCGCAGGCACGGCCAGCAGCCTCCGCACCGGCTGCTGCTGCTGCTGCTGCTGCTGCTGCTGCTGCTGCTGCTGCTGAGGGGTCGCCTGCTGCCTCGCTGTGGGGCCTCTTCTTATGAGGGGCCAGCACATTTGCTGCAAAGCAAGAAGGCAAAATAAATCTCATTGAATTCAAAAGCATTCATCTGTTGCAAGCATGGAAGTGTAGATTGCTGCAGTTCTGGCTGCTGCTGCTGCTGCCTGCGCTGCTGCGTGGGCTTTATACAGTGGGGTATTCTTGCTGCCCTTTGCAGGCGCCCAGCAGCAGAAGCAGTATCAGCAGCAGCAGCTGCAGCTGCAGCAGCAGCAGCAGCAACTGACACTGGTAGCAGCAGCGCAGTTGCCTGCAGCCGCGCAGAGCCTTGAGCGGAAGGCGGAAGGTGCTGCTGCTGCTGCTGCATTGGATGTCCGTTTTTGTTTATTCTTTGTGTCTTTTTCAAGATTTTTGTCTTAATCTGCTTCTGCATTATTTTATTTACACTTTCTCATTTATGTTGCTGCCAGCAGCAAGGGTGTGTATGCCTCATGCCTTTCTTTGCTGCCTCGCAAACCCCACACTTTAATTAAATAGGAATGCATGCAGCAGCAGCTTTGCTGCTATTCCCTGGAGTGTACAGACAGCCGCTGCGCAGCAGCGCAGCAGAGGGAGTTACTGGGGCGGCCCCAGAAAGCTGCAGCACCCCGAAAGCAGCAGCAGCTGCTCCTGCAGCAGCCGCTGCTGCTGCTGCAGCAGCAGCAACTGCTGCTGCTGCTGGCTCTGCTGCAGCTCTCCATTTTCTTTTCTTTCCAGAGAGGTGGCTTTGCTAGCCACGACCTGCGCTTTCTTTAGGTGCATGCATGGCTATGCATTTATATCTAAATATGCATCATAAAGTGTATAATATATAAACTGTACATAGTCTAAATAACATACACATATTATTTTAAAAGTATATTTATATATATATCATGTAATATATATATATTATATTATATATGTATATACATATACATATGCGATATATATCATGTTATATATATATATATCTATATATAATAAACACATATGCATATGCGACCAACACAGGGGTTTTATGAATAGGTAGTTGAACACGAACAGCAAATGGCATAAATATAAATAAATTAATACCAAATAATTAAATAAAAATAAATAATAAAAATAATAATAATTACATAAATAAATAGTTGGGTCTATTATATTCACTGACATCAAAACGCATGCAAGTGAAGAGGCCCTTTGGCCCCGCTTGCCTTCTCAGGCAAACAGAAGCAGCAGCTGAGCTGCGCAATAGGCGCAGTGCTCAACGACTTGGTCCTGCTGCTGCTGCTGCTGCTGCTGCTGCTGTTGCTGCTGCTGCTGTTCCTGCTGCTGACGCCTCAGCGCCCAACTTTATTATCAGGATTAGCTAAGCTCCTGAAGAGAGAACTTTAGGGGTGCCAGGCGTGGCAGAATTGCTGCGGGTTTGCTGCTGCTGCAGCTGCTTCTCCGAAGCAGCAGCAGAGCAGCAACTCTGCAGCTGCTTCAGCTGCATTTTAGGGCTGCAGTTGCTGCTGCTGCTGCTGCTGCTGGACCCATACTGTTCTATTTAGTATTGTAGCGTAATAGTGGCAATATTTATCGAAGTTATAAATAAATTTAAATAAATTTATTTATACAATGTTTGATCTAGCCAGCTGGTTTGGAAACAATAGCAGCATTTGATTTGTTTTGCAATTCTGGTTTAAAATACATTTCATTCGCCATATTTACATTTTAAAAGTTTTATGCTTTTCGTATTTTTCAACATTTTCATCATATGAAGAAAATCCAAAATTGAATTCTATATACTTCTTATAAAAGTGCAGTCTTTAAACGGAAACCTGCTGCTGCTGGGACTGCTGCTGCTGCTGCTGCTGCTGCTGCTCTTTCTGTTGCCTCTATTGTGGGCAATTGGACCAGTGGTCCACAGCAGCAATTTCATGGCAATTATTGCAGCAGCAAAAGCTCTGCGCCGCTGTCTTGTTGCCCACAGCACACAGTGCATAGCCCTAGCTTAGCTAATAAGGAATTCGCAGCTGGCTAGCTAGCTATGAATTAGCCAGCAATCAGGGGTGAGGATACGCAGCGGGAGCTGTGGCTAGCTAACTCGCTAGCTAGCTAGCTAGCTATTTGACTGGCTAGCTAGCGGCTTACCAAACACCCGCGCCAGTTTTCTTGCTGCCTGGCTAGCCACAGCTAGCCCCAGGGCTGGCCGTGGCTAGCTAGCTGCGGGCAGCCTCGCGGCAGCTCGGGCGCAGCTAGCTAAGTGCTGCTACTAAGGACGAAGAGCTAAAGTTAGGCCACGAAAATGGCCGTTGCAGACTTGCTGCAGCAGCGAGGGAGATGAAGAGCAGCACTTGCTGTTGCTGTGGCTGCAGCTGCTGCGCGGTGCCTGCAGAGAGCCAGGGGCCTTTACTGCAGTTCTATCGGCGCACTTGTCTTTGAATAAAGCTTTAATTTGCCTAAATGTATGAAAATGATAATTTGGAATACCTCAAGACCAGAAAGGAGGGCCAAAACTGCCCCAGGCAGCTAGCTAGCTGCCCAGGGGGGCTAGGCGTGGCTAGCCATGGCTAGCTGTGGCTAGCTGTGATTAGCTGTGGCTAGCTGTGGCTAGCCGTGGCTATCTGCGGCTAACTGCGGCTAGCTGTGGCTAGCTGTGGCTAGCTGTGGCTAGCCGTGGCTAGCTGTGGCTAACTGTGGCTAGCTGTGGCTAGCCACGCAATGGCGCAGCTCTGGGCGGCCAAGTTGCCCGAGCGCCAGCCTGGGGTTCCTGCAGCGCCCCCAAACATTCAAAGACAAACAGCCACAGTAGCTGCTGCTGCTGCTGCTGCTGCTGCTGCTGCTGCTGCTGCTGGCTTCAGCAGCAGCAGATGTGTGTGTCTGCCCAGGCCCTCAGTCTCTGATTTGCTGCCAAAAGCATCTCGGTTTCTGAATTGTGAGAAGTGCGTATGGGCTGCTGTGCATGCTGCTGCTGCTGCTGCTGCTGCTGCTGCTGAGCAGCAGCAGCAGCAGCAGCAGTTTTTGCGCAGCAGCAGCAGCAGTTTTTGCGCAGCAGCAGCTCCACGAACAGCCACAAAGGCAGCAGCACTCACCTCAGTAAGTGCTCTGCCGCCGCAGCTGCGGGGCTGAAGGAAAAAGCTGCTCCATAAGTTCTTTTGAGTGTCTCACGAGGGCCCTGAGGAATTCAAAGTAAACAAATCCAGCTACTAGACCCTCAAAAAGGGTTTAGGGTTTAGCGAAGACAGGGGCGCCGAACTCGCGGCCTAGGATTTTGCTGCTAGGGTTTAGGGTTTAGGGTTTAGGGTTTAGGGTTTAGGGTTTACAGCCGTAGGGAATTCGTGGAGGCGAGGATGCAGCCAGGATGGTCATGGCTCTTGCGGTGAGTGGCTTGAACAACAACCTGCAGTTCCTCCCAGACACACAACAAACACTATGTCTTTAATGCTTCAAGCTAGCTAGCTAGACAGCTAGCTACCTAGCTACCTAGCTACCTAGCTAGCTAGCTAGCCAACTGGCTAGGCAACTTAGCTGGCTTGCTGGCTAGCTAGCTATCTATCTAGCTGCCGCAGATAACCGGCTAGCTAGCTAGCTAGCCAGGTAGCTAGCTGGTGTAGCTGGCTGGCTGGCTAGCCTGCTAGATAGCTACCTAACTGCCCTAGCTAGCTAGCTAGCCAGCTAGCTGCCCTAGCAAGTTAGCTAGCCAGGTAGCTAGCTAGCTGGTTGGCTGGCTAGTTTGAGTTTGCAGTGCACGGCGGGACCCCCGCAGCTCCCGTCCCTGCGCAGCCGCGTCTCAGTTGCGGGTTTATTCTGAAAGCCTCTAGGGTTTCTGGAGTGAGGGTTTAGGGTTTAGGGTTTAGGGTTTAGGGTTTGTGGTGCAGCGCGGGTGCCTCAAAAGTGACGCTGCAGCAGCTAAATGACGGGCCTTTACTGTCTCAGAGTCTGTCATTTCATCTTTGATTGAAACTGTTGGCCGCTGCTCTGCTTTCCACTCCCCTGGCCGCCGGCAGCAGTAGTCTTCCAGCAGCAGCTGCAGTTCCTGAGGACTCAGCGCAATTCAAAAGCTGCAGCTTCTCCAGCACTTGGAAATTAAAAAATGCAATTAAATGCACAAGACTCTTGAACTGAGTCAGGGGCGTGGCCTGCTGCGAGATGCAGCAGCAGCAGCAAAAACAGCAGCAGCAGCAGCAGCCACAACAGCAGCTGCAGCAGCCAAAACAGCAACACGCCAGCAGCAGCCAAACTACCATCTGCAGCAATCCAAGCAGCAGCAGCAGCAGCAGCAGAAGCAGCAGCAGCAGCAGCAGCAAGAGAGTGGGGGCTGGGACTCTGGGGCGGACCGTGAGGGTCTCGGGCTGTGCATGTTCCTTGCGCATGAAGAACTCCACCTGCACTTTGGCGTGGGGCGGCTTGCGGCTGTCGTTCGATATTGCCTTGTGCTTCAATAGCCGCACAGGAACTTCCATCTGCAGCAGCAGCAGCAGCAGCAGCGGCAGCAGCAGCAGCAGCAGTGGCAGCAGCGGGAACACAAGCAAAGCGTCAGTGTAGTGGCGCCAGTAGTGGCACTGTCAGAAAGAGACCTGCCAATGGCAATGGCACAGCAATGGAGGCACCAGCAGCAGTTTCAGCAGCAGCAGCAGCTGCTGCTGCTGCTGCTGCAGCTGATGCAAAGAAGAGCATGGGGTGCATACCTCTGTGCCATCTTCTCCGACCTCGAAGATGCACGCATGTAGGCCAACGGCAACGCATCTCGCTCTGTAGAGGACCAGCGTTCCTGCTGCTGCTGCTGCTGCTGCAGTTGTTGGCGCTTTACCTGCTGAGGCTGCAGCCGCGAGCGCCGAGGGAAGTGCAGCAGCAGGAAGAGAAGCAGCAGCAGCAGAAGACAGCGACAGTGCTGCTGCAGAGTCTACTGCAGCAGGGAGGGCCTCCTTCACAGACACAATATCTCCCACGTCAAATGGGTGCAGAAATCCCATATAATGGGCTTCTTCCCACAGCTCCTTGAGCCGGCCAACTGCAATTTCAGACAACAGCAGCAGCAGACACAAATATAAAAACGCATGCAAGTTTCTGGAAAGCACATGGGACACTTTAGTGCAAAAAACAGCCCCAAAAAAGGCACATTCCAAATGAGTAAATTTGAATTGCGGAGTGCATGCCTTTCTGCCCCTCCAGATAGGTAATGAACTTGAATTTAAAATAAACTTAATTGTCATTATTGTTATTATCTTCGAATATAGACTGCCTATAGATAATGGAATTGAGTATGAATTGCCTGAAGCTAATTTACTTGAATATGAAATGCCTGTTGTGGCTGCGCTTGAGTATGAACTGCCCTGTTAAATGCACTTGCAAGTGAAGCGCATGCATTTATTCTATTTGAATGTTAATTGTGTATGATTAATTATATATAATAATTTTATATAAATATGACTGGAGCCGAATATAAAGTGCGAATGGGCAAAAGAATGAAAGTGAACTGCCTCTGGCGACTTCGCCTGAATATGAACTGCCAATTTTCAAAGCACTTGGATATGCGTTGCTTTTGGTCCTTTTTTTGAATTTAAATTAAATATTGCCAATATAATTGAATGTGAACTGCTTGTGGTTATTTCCTGAAAACAAATGGCCTCTGGCGACTGGACTTGGCTGAGTTTCGAGGTGAAATGCCTTTCTTCTATTTGCTTGAACATGAACTGCTTATGTTACTTTGCTAGAACATGAATTGCAAATGAACAATTCAACATTCATGAATTGTGAAAGGCAATACAAGTGAATATGAGCAGCAGAGGCTTAGTGAGCTTGAACAAGAGCTGCAGATGGTGAATTACCTCAGAAAAAGCTATAAGCTTAAATATTCAAAATGGTTTCCTTTCTTTACTTATTACTGCTAATTCTCTTCAATGTGAAAATGCACAAAATTACTTTGTTTGAATCTGAACTGCACATAGCTGCTAAGCTCGAATATAAGTTGCAAGCAGCTAATTTACTGAGTAGCAGCAGCAAATAATAAGTGCTTTTTGAACTAAGTGACAGGAGGTTGCTGCACTTGACTAAGAGCTGCAAATAGTCATTTTGCTGAATATGAACTTCGGGTGGTTAAAGCAATTGAAATTGAACAGCATCTAAGAATTTAATTTATATATTTAATTATTATTTTCTGTTGGCTGCTTCATTTGGACTTGAGCTGCAGCCACAGTGTTTGAACTTGAACTAAAGACTGGCTTGAAGGCGCAATTCGAAACAGCGTGGGTCTACTGAGGAAATGAAAGCTCCACACGCAGTGTTTGCTAATGTGCATGCAAAGAGAAGAAACAAATGGCGAAAAAGACTAAATCTGATTAAATCTGCTTCCTTGTGCAGCACTCGCAGAAAGACAGACTACCCCTAAGCCAGCTAAGAAAGCAGCAGCAGCAGCAGCAGCAGCAGCAGCAGCAGCAGCAGCAGCAGCAGTAGCAGCAGCAGCAGCAGCAGGCCCGCAGCGCCCGCGACCCCCTCATTTATCCTTCTAGATTCTATCAAGAGGCCTTGGAAACTAGCTGCTGAGGAGGGATGTGGACTGAGCTGCTTCTGCTGCAGCAGCAAGCCAGGCATCGTTGGGAAGCTGTTGCAGCGCAGTGCATGCGCATGCAGCAGGTGTACGTACACCGCAGACCCCACAAAGACACTCACGCGATACTGCAAAGCCCACGAGAAACAAAACCCCCAAAGCCAGGGCCAGCCACTGCAGGAAAGTCAACTGCGAAAGTCCCAAAGCCAAGACCAGCCCCAGAGGCGCAGCAAGCCCCAGCAGCACGAGACTTGTCTTCCGCAGGATCGTCTCATTCAGCTGCCACGCACACGCAAACCCTAAACCCTAAACCCTAAACCCTAAACCCTAGCCCCTAAACCCGAAACCCGGAACCCCAAGCCCGACACCTGGTTCCCAAAACCCTAAACCCGATATTCTAAACCGAAACCCTAAACCCTAAACGCTAAACCCTACGAGATTCGAAGGCAGCAGCGCTGCTGCCCAGGCGCAGGCCCAGCAGCAGCTCCAAACCCTTAGCTTTTCCAAACCCTAAAACCCTAAACCCGTAAAAGCTCTTGCAGTATATTGCCTCTCGGGGCCCGACTCTGTGAAAAGAGCCTTAAAGTCTGTCTTTCAAATCAATTAAAAGGAATTAAATGAATTAATTGAATTAAACAAATGGTTTGAATTAAATTGATTTCTTGAATTAAATTATTTAATTAAATTAATTAATTTAATTAAATTAATTTAAACTGTCAACTTGCCCTCGCAGCGTGCCGCAGCTTCAGCTGCTCTCTGTAGGCGTCCATAAGGCCACAGACGAATTCGCCGCGGGTTATAAAGTCAGGGTCTGCGGGGCCCACAGCCACCAAAAACCCTAAACCCTAAACCCTAAACCCTAAACCCTAAACCCTAAACCTTCGGCCGCAAGCCCCACAGAACGCAGGCTACCCGCCGGAGAGCCAGACAACTAACTAAGGCAGTTGCGCAGCTACAAGCAGCAGCAGCAGCTGCTGCTGCGGCACAGCTGGCATGCACGCAGTGACCAGAAAAAACGCAGGGCTAGCAGCAACAGCAGCAGCAGCAGCAACAGCAGCAGCAGCAGCAGCAGCAGCAAGTGGTTCTTACTAGCCCTTTCAAATGAGCGGAAAAAGAGGGTTGCATCATCGTGTCTCAAAAAATATAAGAAATGGTCCAACGTGAGCGCATTCTGTTGCATCCCGTATCTGCCGTCGGCGCTTGCTTCTTGCTGCTGCAGCAGCTGCAGCTGCTGCTGCAGCTGCTGCTGCTGCTGCTGCTGCGTGTCTCCAGACGCAGTGCTGCAGTCCCTCTGACTGCTCCCCACAGGCTCGCCACGCCAAAGAGGAGGTCCCAGAGTCAGCCGCCTCTGAGGTTCCGCTCGCTGCACCAAAAAGACACACTTATTGAGTTTAGCCATGCATGCAGCAGCAACAGCAGCAGCAGTAGCAGCAGCAGCAGCAGCAGCAGCAGCAGCGGAAAGCGCTCGCAGCCGAAGTGCTAACTTACTCCCTGAATCGCTTCACAGACAAACTGCCGATCTGCGCGCCGCCTTCGCCGAAGTTTATCTCTGCTGGGTCTGGCCGCCCCTGCTGCTGCTGCTGCTGGTGCAGCTGGTGCTGCTGCTGCTGCTGCTGCTGCTGCTGGTGCTGCAGCACCTCCCCCTCCGTCTGACTGCTTCTTCTCCTGAGGACATAGGAGACTGGGGTCACAGCAACAGGCTTCCCCAGAGGGCTGGCCCCAGAGCTCGTTGCAGCCGTAGCTGCTGCAGCTGCTGCTGTTGTTGCGGTTGCTGTTGCTTCTGCTGCTGCTGCTGTAGCAGCTGCTGCGCTGCCTGCGCCGCCGCCGGCGGGTCCTGCTGGAGACAGCAGCAAAATGGGTCCTGGCGTCTACGAAGAGAGTGCTGTTGGGGCTTTGCTGCACGTCGGAGGTTCCTCGCGGCGTCCGCTGCCGCTGCTGCTGCTGCTGCTGCTGCAGCAGCAGCTGCTGCTGCTGCAGAGAAACCCCCACCTCTGTGCCTCTAGAGGCCACTTCTTCCTCCCCCAGGGGCCTCTCCACAGCAGAATAGGAGCTGTTGTTTGGCTGCAGCGCCTCTGAAGTTTGCTGCTCTGAAGAGCGGAAGAAGACAGGCTCAGAAGGGGGCCCCCAGCTGGGGGCAGCGCCCAGGGGGCCCCCATGGGGGCCCCCCTGGGGGCCCCCCTGGGGCCCCCCAGGGGGGCCCCTGAGGGCCCCCCCAGCAGCCAAAGTGTTCATGCCTGCGCTCTCTAGCCTTTCAGGATTGAAGGTGAAGAGCCGCGAGGAGTTGCTGCCGCTGGTGGCGTGGTTTGGGGTGTCTTTGCTGCTGCTGCGCTGCTGCTGCTGCTGCTGCGCAGCGAGAGGGTCCGCTGCTGCTGCAGCAAAAGGCAAAAAGCCCTGGGCCGAGGGCCTCCCCACGCTGCCCTGGGGTGACAGAGTCTCGCGAGCAAGATCTGCTTCTGCTGCTGTTTTAAAAAGAGCAGCAGCAGTTGGCAGCGCGAAGTAATTTGAGCTGCCGATTTGTTCGCTGCCCTGCAGCACGGAGGCCCCGGCGCCTTGCTGCCAGTCTTCCCCTGAGGACCTCCCGGCCAGCTGCGTCTGCTGCTGCTGTTGCTGCTGTTGCTGCTGCTGCTGCTGCAGCAGGCGGGCACTCCGAAGGCGCAGCTGCTCCTGCTGCTGCTGCAGCTGCTGCAGCTGCTGCAGCAACTGACCTTCCGGTGCACCTGGCACTTGCGAGTAGACGGAAGCCTCAGAGCTCTGCAGGTCTTGACTCGCCTTCTGGCTCTGCGCAGCAGCAAGCTGCTGCTGCTGCTGCTCGTGCTCTTGCCGCCGCAGCATCTGCTGCTGCTGCAAGTGCTGTTGCCGCCGTTGCTGCAAGTGCGGTTGCATTTGCAGCGGCTGCGCCTGCTGCTGCTGCTGCAGCAGCTGCTGCTGCTGCTGCGTGTGGGTGACTTCTCCGTACGCGCTGCTGCTGGGCTCTATCCTCCACTGCTGCGTCTCTGTCCTGCCGCTGTCTGCTGCAGCAGCAGCAGCAGAAGTCTCCAGCTCGACGTCTGAGGCTCTTGGCGCTGCAGAAGCTGCTGAGAACTGCGGAGTTGGCGGCGGGAGCTGCAGCTCAGCTGGAGACCGGTCTGCTGCTGCTGCTGCTGCTGCTGCTGCTGCTGCTCTGTGCGGGGGCTCCCAGGTCAGCGCCTCCGAGTGCAGCAAAGGGTATCTGCTGCTGCTGTTGCGGCTGCTGCTGCTTCGCAGGTACCTCTCCTCGCCTCTCCAGTCATCCCCTTGGGAGGCTGCGTTGCTGCTGTAGCGGCGGTAAGACGCGGGAAAGGGGCCCCCCGGGGGGCCCCCCAGGGGGCCCCTGTCGCTCCAGCTCCCCGGAGAATGCCCCTGGAAGCTTGGCCTGCGCTGGGAAGGAGTTGCTGCTGCTGGAGCTGCTGCAGGAGCTGTTGCTGCTTCTCGGCTGAGGAAGCTGTGCGCCGAAGCGGAGGGCAGCAGCACGACAGGCTCGCCCTGCTGCTGCTGCTGCTGCTGCTGCTGGGGGGCGCTGGAGGAGCCCGGGATCGATCCCGATCCCGATCCCAGGCCCCCCAACTGCAGCACGCGGTGAAAGTCCAGCAGCTCTTGAAACAGCTGCGTCCCATACAGCAGCACATCTATGGGGGAGTGCAGCTGCTGCACTTCTCCACCAACAACAACTTGTGCTTTTGCTGCTGCCAGCAGGTGCAGCATCTGCAGCGCCTTGTGGGGCCTCACGGCGCTGCTGCCGAAGCTCCCGTTGCTCGTGCTGCTGCTGCTGCTGCTGCTGTTCGTGCTGCTGAAAATCGCCGTGCTCTGCCCCCCCGAGTCCTCCAGCCCCGTCCCGCTGCTGGGGGCCCCCCTGCTGCTGGGGGCCCCTGGCCTCTCCTGAGGGTCTTCAGCAGCAGCAGCAGCAGCTAGCAGCCTGCGGTTGCTGCTGCGGATGTGGGGAGAAGCAGCAAACGGCTCAGCGCCCAGGGGGGCCCCCCGAGGGGGCCCCCTTGGGTACTGAGCTGCTCCATTCCACGAAGGCCGCCTTCGGGGAGGGGCCCCCCTGGGGGATCCTGAGGAAGAATAGAAGGAGGAGTGCTGCAGCGCGGGCTGCAGCAGCCGGACAGTCCCATTGCCGACTCGGCTTTGCTGCTGCTGCTGCTGCTGCTGCTGCTGCTGCTGCTGCTGCTGCTGCTGCCCGCGGTGCGCAGGAGCAGCTTGCACTGCAGCAGGAAGGCTAGCTCTGACTGGGCAGCTTCTGCTTCTTTTTCCATCACTGCTGCTGCTGCTTCTGCTGCTGCTGTTGCCGTTGCTGCTGCTGCTGCTGCTGCTGCTACTAGTCCTGAGCCGCAGGCCCTCCAGCCCTTCCAAAGACACCGTGGAAGCACATTCCCCTGTGGGGTCACTAAAGTCATTTGGGGGGCACAAGGGGATGCCTAAAGGGGCTGTGTGCTGAGTTGTGGGGTTTTGCTGCGTCTCTCGGTCGCAGTAGCTGCTGCTGCTGCTGCTGCTGCTGCGCCTGCTGCTGCTGCTGCAGCTACTTCCATCATTGTTTTGCGGCAGGCAGCGATGGGCAAGAGGCAGAGGCTCGGCCGAGGCACGCGCCTCTCTATTGTCGCTACACAAGCAGCAACTGTGGCGGCAGCCGCAGCTGCTGCTGCTGCTGCTGCTGCTGCTGCTGCCCGAGCAGCTGCTGCTGCAGAACGACGCGCTGCTGCTGGCCGGCGAAGAACAGGCCAGCAGCAGACTGGGGGCGCCATGGACTCCAGTGATTTGCCAAGAGTTGTTTGGGGCTTCGGATGCAATGCACGCGATCATACTGGGTAGGTGCAGGTAGCTGCAGAAACTGCTGCTGCTGCTGCTGCTGCTGCTGCTGCTGCTGCTGCTGCTGGCCTCTGGGTTCAGGAGGGTGCTGCAGCGGCACAACGAAGGAGGGCCTCCGCGTCTTTGACTTCTGTGTCAGAGTTTGCTGCTCCTGCCGCCAGTGCTGCAGCAGTTTCTTGTGCAGCATGCTTGCTGCAAGCCCTGCGGGGGCCCCCTGGGGCCCACTGGCGGGCAGCTGCAGCAGCACCACTGGCTGCTGCTGCTGCTGCTGCCTGGGACTGCTGCTGTCCTGCTGCAGCACGGCTCTTGGGGACTGCTGCAGAATTGCTGCCGGCGAGACAGCAGCAGCAACGGACGAGGTCCCGCCGTCTGCGAGAGTCACCGGAATGAGAATTTGCTGCTGCTGCTGCTGCTGCTGCTGCTTGTCCTCCAGTGTGCTGCTTTTGTCCTTATTGTTTGCTGCAGCTGCTGCTGCATCACTCAGCAGCTCCGGCAGCGCGTCAAAGCTGAAAGCAGCAAAAGGGGGAGGAGGGAAAAGGGGGGCATCAGGCTTGAGTTTTTTTGCTTCTTTTTTTTCTTCTTTTTCGGTCTTGGGGGCCCCCCGGGGGCCCCCCTTGGGGGCCCCCTTGGGGGCCCCCTGGGGGCCCCCCTTCGAGGCCTCTGAGGGCCTCGCAAGGGCCCCTCCAGAAAGCAAATTCAATCTCCGAAAGGCACAAAGACAAAGACAAGTTGCTGCAATCTGTGGGGCCCGAGAAGCAGCAAGCCGCAGCCGCAGCCAGCCCAGCAGCAGGTGCCGCAGCGTTGCCTGAAGCCAGCGCAGCAGCAGCGAGGGTTTAGGGTTTAGGGTTTAGGGTTTAGGGTTTGGGGCTTGGGGTTTAGGGTTTGGAGCGCAAAGCCAACGGCCAAGAAGCAGCTGCCGGGGTGGCTGGGGTGATTCTGCGAATGGCGGAAGCGCAGGGCTTTCCGAGTTTAGGGTTTAGGGTTTAGGGTTTAGGGTTTAGGGTTTGCTTGCTTCAGCAGCAAAGATGATGCAGAGCTGGAGGACGAAGGCAATCCATTTTGCTGCTGCTGCTTCTCCGGCGGAAAGGACTTGGGCATATTTGGCAAAAAAGAGAAGCTGGCAAAGCAGCCATGCTGCGCTGCAGCCCAGCAGCAAACTCAGCCCGGGATGCACTGCGAGCAGCAGCAAGCAGCAGCAAGCAGCAGCAAGCAGCAGCAAGCAGCAGAGAGCAGCGCCAGTTGCATGCGTTTGTGGGGCCTTTGCATGCGCTTCCGGTGTACGCACAGCCGAGGGACACTCCCGCAGCAGCAAACCCAAGCGCCCGCAGCAGCAGCAGCAGCAGCAGCAGCAGCAGCAGCGAAGGCCCGCGTCAAAGGCCGCAGAGCCAACACGCAACAAAGACAAGGGACCAAAGAGCAGCAGCAGCAGCGGCAGCCACAGAGAGCCGAGCAGCAGCGGCAGCGCCCGCAGCATTAGCAGCAGCAGCATCAGCAAGAGCGTCAACCGCATTAGCATCAGCCCAACCCATTAGTACCAGCAGCAGCAGCAGCAGCAGCAGCAGCAGCAGCAGCAGCAGCAACAGCAGCAGCAGCAGCAGCAGCAGCAGCAGCAGCAGCAGCAGCAGCAGCAGCAGCAGGAGGGCCTCACAGGCGGGCTGGAACGCGTGCATTCTGGCCAGGCCTGCGGGGTCTTTGCGCGCTTTGGCGTGCTGCAGCGACAGCAGCACTTCGCCGAGGCCCCAGGGCAGCACCAAAAGGCAAAGGCCGAAGCAGGCGAAAGAGAGCCACCGCTGTGACCACTGGTCATCTTCAGTTTCGGCGAAGGCCAGCTGCCAGACCAGCCAACTCGCGGACACCAAAAAGGCCACGAGCCTGCGGAAAAAGCCACTTCTTCAGGACTATTTGGACTCAAAACACTTCTTTTCACTTCTATTTTAGGAATGGTTTCATTTAAATATATATTTAATTCATTTTTTTGCATAAATGTTGACATCTGTATGCATGCGAGTGCAGCCATTGGTGGGGTGTATGTGCAGGTGCAGTGCATGTGAATGTGCAGAAAGATGAAAAGAATTAATTTAAATGAAGTTTTGAAGTTTCAATGTCAAATAAATTCAATTATTTGGTTAATTAATAATTAAATAAATATATTTATTATTTTAAACACAAATCAGGCTTTTTTTGATTTGAAAAGACACAAAGACCAGTTTAAAGTCCTCAATCTTCAAGAAAACAGAAGTGATTTAAATGATTTATTTTTAACGATAAGAAATACAATTTATCAGAAACTGGAGATTAAAAAAATAAAACTAAAAGTTTATTTTTTTGTTTATTTAAAAACAATTCTCCTTTACAGAAATGCCCAAAAGTTTAGAAAAATGAAAAAGCGAAAATGTTCTCGAAGTTGATATTCTGGAAATCAAGAAATTTGCAAATTTGCATTTTCATGAATATCTCTAAAAGACTTTTCGATTAAAAAGGAAATTAAAATAGATTAAATAAATTAATAAAATGAATAAAATGAATAAAATGAATAAAATGAGTAAAATGAAATAACAAATTAATTAAAATGATTTTCTAATTAAAAGTCTCACCAAATTGAAGCCATAGTCCACTTCAACACTGCTTTGATTGTTTTGCTTCTTTTGCTGCCGCTTGCTGCTGCTGCTAAACTCTCAGGCACCAGCCGCCGCTGCAGCAGCTGCAGCAGCGCCTGCGGGTCTTCAATTGGCTTGCGGCAGTCGCACAGCTCCTCTGCAGCAGCAGCAGCAGCAGCAGCAGCAGAATCAGCAGCAGCATCACACACAGCATTGGCAGATGCAGCAGCAGCAGCAGCAGCAGCAGGTGCAAGAGCAGACGCAGCAGCAGACGTGCACGCAGAAACAGCAGCGCCAGCACACACAGCAGCAGGAGCAGCAGCAGACGCAGCAGCAGACACAGCAGCAGCAGGAACTATTATTCCGGACACAGCTGCAGCTAAATATGAATTCTTCTTTTTGCTGCACTGCAGCAAAGAGCCCAGCTAAATTGAAAAAAGCAAATGCACTATTTTCCGTGCAGTGCAGGAGCCCTTGTCCTTGAGCTGCCTCTGTAGCAGCAGCAGCAGCTGCTGCTGCTGCTGCTGCTACTGCTGCTGCTGCTGCTGCTGCCTAGTTACTGCCTAGGCTGCTGCAACTAAGCTACGTCAGTCCTTGTCCTACGAAACTTCGTGTCGGCAACAATACAGGTGACGGTCCCACCCCACAATCAGCAGCAGCAGCAGCAGCAGCAGCAGCAGCAGCAGCAGCAGCAGCAGCAGCAGCGTTTGGCTCACCATCCTGCAGGGACCAGGCGATCTCGCCCGCAGTCTCTGTGTGTCCCTGCCTCTTGGCTGTGCTGCTTGCTGCAGCAGCAGCAGCAGCAGCAGATTCCTGCAGCCGCATGACACTGGCTGTGTCTGGGGGAGGTGCAGCAAACAGCACATGCAGTTTGCTGCTGGGGGGCCCCCCTCTTGCTGCTAGGGGCCCCCTTTGAGGGTCCAGAGAAGCAACTGCAGCACGGGCCCCTGCCAAAACGGAATCTGCTGCTGCTAATGCTGCTAGAGTGTGGTCATTTAAATAGCTGCGCTGCTCATTGACTTGCTGCTGCTGCTGCAGGAAGCTCGTGCGCTGCGCCTCCAGCTGCTGCTGCTGCAGCCGGGCAGCTGCTTCCAGCGCGTTGCTCAGCTGCTGCTGCTGCCGCTCCTGCTGCTGCTGCAGCTGCTCCCGCTGCCGAGCCACAAGCTCCTCCTGCCTGTCCAGCTGCTGCTGCCGTATTCGAATGGCTGTAGTGAGCTGCTGCTGCTGCAGCAGCTGCTGCTGCTGTGTCAGTTGCTGCTGCTCTGCCAGCTGCTGAGATATTGCGTACACTTGCTCGGCGATGCTGTCAAGAGCAGCAGCAGCAGCATCAGCAGGGCCCCCGGCTCTGCTGCTGCGGCGCAAGGACAGCTGCTGCTGCTGCTGCTGCTGCTGCTGCAGTGAGGGATCCCCATAAGACACTATGGGCTCAGAGTCTCTGGGCGTAAAGGGGTCGCCCCGGATTGTAGCTGCTGAGGCCTGCTGCCACGCCCGCTGCTGCTGCTGCTGCTGCTGCTGCTGCTGCAGCCGGCTGCTACGCTGCTGCTCAGAAGCCTCCTCTTCTGCTGCCTGGATGTACAGCTGCTGCGTAAAAGAAGAAGGCTCTTCAACTTGCTGCTGCAGCGGAATTGGCTCTGCAGCAAAAGCCCCCGCGTCTCCGTCTGCTGCTTCTGCAGGCAGCAGCAGCTGCTGCTGTGTCAGTTGCTGCTGCTGCGGCGAGCCGAGCAACGCCGGCAGCTGCTGCCGCTGCAGCAGCTGCTGCTCGTGCTGCTGCAGCTGCTGCTGCTGGTGCAGCAAAGCTAACTCAATGCGCCGCAGCTCTTCTTCTCTCATCACCTGTCGCAGCTTTTCTTGCAGCTCTTGCGCGCGCCCAGTCGGTTGCTGCTGCTGCTGCTGCTGCTGCGGCAGCTGCTGCATCGACTGCTGCAGCTGCTGCTGGTATCTAGCTGGCGCAGTAGCCGTGGCTCTGGGCATCATCGGAAGGCGCTGCTGCTGCTGCTGTTGCTGCTGCAGCCTCTGTTGCGGCTGCTGCGGCTGCGGCTGCAGGAAGGGCTGCTGAAGGAATGGCCTCTGCTGCATTTGCTGTTGCATTTGCTGCTGCTGCAGATGCTGCCGCAGCAGCTGCTGCTGCAGCTGCTGCACTTGTTCTGGCTGCAGCTGGTGCTGGTTCTGCAGCAAAGTATTGCCTATGAGATGAGGGCGAGATGAGCGCCTAGGCGGTCTGCCTACAGACTGTCTAAGTTTCTGCTGCTGCTGCTGCTGCTGCTGCTGCTGCTGCTGTAGCGGTTGCTGCTGCAGCAGCTGCTGCTGTTGCAGCTGCTGTTGGGATAGCTGTTGCTGCGGCAGCGGTGGCAGCAGCAGCGGCTGCTGCTGCTGCTGCTGCTGCAGCAAAGGCGACACTGACCGGAGATCAGCAAGCGCTGCATGCACTAGAGCTTCTGCTTGCTCAGCTACTGCAGCAGCTGCTTCTGCATCTGCTGCTGCTGCTGCTGCTGCTTGCCCCTGTGCTGCTAGTGCGGGGCCCCTTTGTGCTGCTGCTGCTGCGGCGGCCCTGCGAGCTTCTGATGCTGCAGTTGCTGCAACAGCAGCCTCGACTCCAGCTGCTGCTTCTGCAGCAACTGCAGCAGCACTTTGTGCTGTTGCTGCATCTTGCTGCGCTTGCTGCGCCGCAAGCTCCCCATCTTCCAGCTCTGCAGCAACAGCAGCAGCAGCAGCAGCTGCTGCTGCTGCTGCGGCTGCAGAAGCCTCAGAATCATTTGCTGATCGAAGAGCTGCTGCTGAACTCAATGAGGTCCTGTCTCTGGGAGTCTGTATCACACTTTGCTGCTGCTGCTGCTGCTGCAGCAAGAGCTGCTGCTGCAGCAACTGGTGTTGGTCGTCCTGTATCTGTTCTTCTGGATCTTGCTGCAGGGCCGGCTGCTGCTGCTGCTGCTGCTGCCCATACGACAGTTGCTGCTCCTGCAAGCGCTGCAGCAGCTGCTGCTCCTCCTCCCCGTGCTGCTGCTGCTGCAGTAGTTGCTGCTGCGCTTGCTGCAGCGCAGCAGATTGCTGCTCTCCGAAAGACACGAAGCTTGGCGCTCCCTGTCGCAGCAGCAAAGGCCTAGACTGCTGCAGACCCCACAGCTGCCGCTGCCGCTGCCGCTGCTGCTGCTGCTGCTGCTGCTGCTGCTGCAGCTGTGGGTACGCCGCTGGGGCGCTGGCAACACTTGGCGGCGTCAGCTGCGCCTCTCCTCCATCTGCTGCTGCTGCTGCTGCTGCTGCTGCTGCAGCCTGAAGAGACATGGGGGCCCCCTGGGGGCCCCCTACAAGGGGCCCCAAAGAGGCCCTCGAGCGGCCCCGAAGCGAGGCCCTAGGGTACCCTTGTGCGGTGGCCATAGGAGAAGTCTCAGCAGCAGCAGCAGCAGCAGCAGCAGCAGCAGCAGGAGCTGAAGCAGGAGAAAAGGCCGCGCGCAGGGGGGCCCCATTGGGGGGCCCCTGCAGCAGCTGAGGGCCTTCTGTGTCTGAAGCAATTGCTGCTGCTTCTGCATCACTTTCTCCCCCAAGAACGAAGACTTCAGGTGCATGCATGGGTGCTGCTGCTGCTGCTGCTGCTGCTGCTGCTGCGTCTGCTGCTGCTGCTGAGGGAAAGGCAGCAGTGCCTATGCTAGGGACTGAGCTGGCGGCCCCGGGGCTGCCATAGAAGAAGTCGCTGGGGTCTCTGCTTCGAGAGCTGCCCATCTGCTGCTGCTGCTGTTGCTGCTGCAGCTGCTGCTGCAGCTGCTGCTGCTGCAGCTGCTGCTGCAGCAGCTGCTGCTGCAGCAGCTGCTGGTGGCCAACTTCTGTGGCGCCGCTGCTGGGGCCTCCCATGGGAAGCGGCAGCAAATCGCTCACCCTGGGATCCGTGGGGGCCCCGCTGCTGCTGCTGCTGAAGCCCTGCGGCAGCAGCAAAGGGGTTCTCGTAGCTGCTGCTGCGCTGCTCACAAGACCCTGCTGCTGCTGCTGCTGCTGCTGCTGCTGCTCCTCGCCTGCTGCTGCGTAGAGGCCCGCGGGAGGCGTGGATAAGCCTGAGTAGTTGGAAGCAAAAGTTCCAGCAGCAGAGACAGAAGGGGGGGCCCCCAAGGTGTGCAGGGGGCCCCCCAGATTGCTGAGGGGGGGCCCCCCTAAGGAGTTTTCTGAGGCCCCATTGGCTGTGGTGAAGCTGTAGAACTGTTCCCCTTCTTCGGGCTCCATGTGCTGCTGCTGCTGCTGCTGCTGCTGCTGCTGCTGCTGCTGCTGCTGCAGACCCTGTGGGGCCCCCGGCGCTGCTGCGTGTGTGTGGTGAGCAGCAGAGGACAGAAGCAGCAGCAAATCATGTTTCAGCTGGATGCGGGCAACTCAGCAGCAGCAAGTGCTGCGCTGCTGCACGGGTTTGCTGCTGCTTGCTGCAGCTGCTCGGGGGCCCCTCTGGGGCCTCGCTGGCGGCAGCAGCGCCGGGTGTCTAGGCAGCTCTGGCTTCTTTCTTTTATTTTAATTCTAAATTAATTTTAATTTTTTAATTTTTAATTATTTCTTCAAAGTTGGGGCCACAAACGCTGCTGCTGCTGCCGCTGCCGCCGCCGCCGCTGCTGCTGCTGCTGCTGCACGGGACCCTCCGAGGCTCGAAGTCTCCGCGCAGCAGTTGCAGCAGCAGCAGCAGCAGCAGCAGCAGCAAAGCTCCAATCAAAAGCCAGCTTTAATTATATATTCACTTTTGCTGCAAATATTTCACCGGAAGAAGCCTAGAAGAGTGGAGACACGGGGACCTCGATCAGCTGCTGCTCGGGCTGCTGCTCGTGCTGCTGCTCGTGCTGCTGCTCGTGCTGCTGCTCGTGCTGCTGCTGCTGCTGTTGTTGCTGCTGTTATTTTGTGCTGATTTTGTAGCAGCAGATATTAATTTTAATGGACTGTCTACGGGGCCCCACAATTGTTTAGACAGGGGCCCCCTGGTGAATCGGGGGGCCCCATCTGTAGCAGCAGCAGCAGCAGCAGCACGGAGAGCAGCAGCAGCAGCAGCAGCAGCAAATGCAGCAGCAGCAGCAAGAGCTGTGCACAGCTTTAGAGTAAAATCAAAATCAGAATGCGCGATTTCTAGCATGCTGACAAATTTCACTTGGCTGTCCCTGCAGCAGCAGCAGCAGCAGCAGCAGCAGTTGCTGCTGCTGCTGCTGCTGCTGTTGCAACAAAATCCTGAAACATTTTTCTTGGATGTTCTGGAAGCTAAACGCTAAACCCTAGACCCCAAAGATTGTTCCCGAAGCTCCAGATCCCAAACCCTAAATCCTAAACCCTAAACCCTAAACCCTAAACCCTCGTTTCGAAAACCCTCAGACCCACCGGGTCACCAGCAAAAGAGAAAAAAGGAATTTTTGGACTTTTCCCTTTTTTTATTTAAATAAATGCATTTAAATGGCACTTTTGCAAACTTGAAGGACTTTTATATTTCATCTTTTTATTTCTTTTTAATTTCTTTTTTATTTCTTTTTTTTGAAAAGAAGACAAAAAGGGTAAAAAGCCTTAAAGGCCTGGGGCCATTCTCTGTGTTCTTCAGAGTCTCCTGCTGCTTTCGCATGGCTGCTGCTGCTGCTCCTGCGGCAGCTTCTGCTGCTGCTGCAACTGTTACTGCTGCTGCTGCGGCAGCTGCTGCTGTTGCTGCTGCTGTTGCTGCTGCTGCTGCTGTTGCTGCTGCTGCTGCTGCTTGCATCGGCCTTTCTTGTGTCTATCCCCAGCTTATCTGTCTCTCCTAATTTCTACATTTGCGCGCTTCCCCCAGTGAACTGCTTTGTGGGGACGCCGTGTGCTGCAGCAGCAGCAGCAGAAGCAGCAGGAGAAGCAGCAGAAGCAGCAGCAGCAGCAGCAATGGCAATCGCAGCAGCAGCAGCAGCTATAGCAGCCAACTGACGCATCGCCCTATGTGTCCGGTTCTCCCCGAATGAAGTGCCTGTGCAGCACTTGCATCGGCTGCTAAGTTGGCAGCTGCTGCTGCTGCTGCTGCTGCTGCAGCAGCAGCAGCAGAACTAAAAGTACTCTGCGTGGTCGCAGCAACTCTTCGTTGTATTTATAATCCCTTCTATCTTCTTTGAATCCCAAAGAAGACAAATGGGACAGAGTCTAGGGCCCTAAGGCTTCACTGGCTCTGTGCCTTCGTGGCTGCTGCTGCTGCTGCTGCTGCTGCTGCTGCAGCTGCTGCTGCAGCTGCTGCTGCTGCTGCTGCTCGTATCCGCTGCAGCATCATAGCGTACGTAAGCAGCAGGTAGCAGCATCACGTCGACTTTGTACCCACTCACAATGCAATCCACCAGCAGCAAGGGGGGGCCCCCAACACTATAGCTCCTTGGCCGCAATGCCCAAAAGCAAATGGCGTTTTCTTCTTTGCTGTGCGGAGGCTGCTCCCAGTCGCATCGTCCTCATCATCAGCAGCAGCAGCAGCAGCAGCAGCAGCAGCAGCAGCAGCTCTGCTGCTGCTGCTGCTGCTGCATATGTCGCTGGCGAAGCCAATTGGCTCACAGTTGCAGTCCAGCAGCAAAGGAGCAGGCATAGAAGAAGGGCCCCGGGGGCCCCCCAGCCGTACCCCTCCGGGGGCCCCCCCTCCCTCTCCCTCATTCAAACCTGCATGCAGCAGCAGCAGCAGCAGCAGCAGCAGCAGCAGCAGCAGCAGCAGGCGCGAGTAAGCAAATGAAAAGGGATATGGCAGCAAGCCTGAGTGAACTGCCATAAAGAACAACTCGAAACTCCTTCTTTATCTTTTATAATTCCATTTATAATTTCATTTATCATTTAATTTATTATTTATTTTAATTTCAAATTTATTATTTAGTTTATTATCTAATTTATTATTTAATTATTACTACCTGCTGCTTCTTTGTTCATTTCTGCTTCTCGCTTCAAACCTTCTGCTGCTCCTCTTGTCTCCCCACAAGCAGCAGCAAAAGCTTTCCAATCAGCAGCAGCAACAACACCCAGCTGCTCAGCAGCACAGAGCTCTTCCGGGGGGCCCCCATGGGGGGCCCCCCAAAGGGGGCCCCCTGCGGGGGGCCCCCAGGTGGGGCCCCCCGGGGGGGCCCCCCAAGAGGGGCCCCCCGAGGGGGCCCCCCAAGTGGGGCCCCCTGCGGGGGGCCCCCAGGCATGGGGGCCCCCAGGGGAGGCCGTGTCTCGGGGGGCCCCCCAAGGGGGGCCCCTCTGGGGGGCCCCCGGTGAGGCATCGGTGGGGGGGCCCCCCAGCTTGCTGCTGCTGGTGAGTTCCAGCAGCGGCAGGGGCCCCAAGTCCCCACGAATGGGGAGGCGCAGCACCAGTTTGGGCCGCTGCTGCTGCTGCTGCTGCTGCACCTGCCGCTGCTGCTGCTGCACCTGCTGCTGCAGCTGCTGCTGCACCTGCTGCTGCAGCTGCTGCTGCTGCTGCAGCAGCAAGTCCAAATGGGGAAGCATCAGGCCGAGGCTGACAGCGTGCTGCAGCAGCCGGGCCTTGCGGAGGCAGCCCCAAGTTTCTGCTGCATAGTTGAGGTGTCTGCCCATGGCTTCGATGCAGCAGCAAATTAAATCTTCCTTCCAGGCCAGCAGCAGCGCCAGCCGGGGGCTTAGTGCTGCTGCTGCTGCTGCTGCTGCGTTCGCTTCAGACAGACACAGCGCGGGCCCTCGGACCCCGGACCCTCCTGCTGCTGCTGCGCCCCCTGCTGCTGCTGCTGCTGCTGCTGTTCCCCCTGCTGCTGCTGCTGCTGCACCCTCCGGCTCAGGCAGCTCCAGGGGCATTTCCCTAAGGAGCCACAGACGCATACAAATGCAGCAAACCCTAAACCCTAAACCCTAGACCCTAAACCCTAGCTTAGCTTCGAAGCAGCTCCCCCGCTGTCTCTACGCAGCAGCAACAGCAGCAACAAACCGAACAAAACCAGGAGGAGGAGGAGGAGGAGGAGCAGCAGCAGCAGCAGCAGCAGCAGAAGTAGTAACAGCAGCAGCAGCGCGTATGAAGCCGCGCATCAGGCGACGCTTAGCAGCAGGAAATGCAGGAAACAAATTAAATTAAATTAAATTAAATTAAATTAAATTAATTAAATTAAATTAATTAAATTAAATTAAATTAATTTCTTTTTTAAATTAATTTACCAATCTCTAAAATGCCAATCTCTAAATGCCAACGCCAAAGTCAAAATCTGAGCAGCACGCATGTCGTGCAGCTGCCCCTGCAGCAGCTCCCATACCTGCGCAGCAGCAACAGCAGCAGCAGCAGCAGCAGCAGCAGCAGCAGCAGCAGCAGTAGCAGCGGGTGCAGGAGCAGTTTGAACAGCAGCAGCGGCCAACGTCAGCAATCAGCAAGGGAAGCAGCAGCGGAAGCAGCAGCAGCAGCAGCAGCAGCAACAGCAACACCGGGCTGTTGCTGTAGCACGAACTGCAGCAACGGCGCCTGCAGCTGCAGCAGCAGCAGAAGTGGAGGGATAAACGAAAGAACAAAAGCATCAGCAGCAGCACACGAAGTGGCAGCACCAGCAGCACCGACAGCAGCAACAGCAGCAGCAACGGCAGCAGCAGCAACACCCAGACCACCAGCAGCAGCAGAAACAGCACGCAAACTAGAAGCAGCAGCACCAGCAGCAGCACCAGCAGCAACAGCAGCAGCAACAGCAGCAGCAGAAGCAGCAGCAGCAACAGCACCAGCAGAAGCAGCAGCAGCAACAGCACCAGCAGAAGCAGCAGCAGCAGCAGCAGAAGCAGCAGCAGCAGCAGCAGCAAACCTGGTAGACGATGTGCATTGCTGTTGGAGTCCAGAAAGCAAGAGAGTCCACAGACCCCACAAGAGCTGTTAGCTGCTGCACCTCCAAACCCTCGAGCAGCAGCCGGCACTTGGCCGCGTCGAAGGGACACGGCGGCATCTGAACGCAAACCCTAAACCCTAAACCCTAAACCCTAAACCCTAAACCCTAATTCCTGAGTCTTGGTGGAGGTGCAGCCATGGAGGCTCCTGCGCAGCGATAAAGGCTGTGCAACTGCTCTTGTCAAAAAAGAAGCTAAACCCTAAACCCTAAACCCTAAACCCTAAACACTATACAAAGGCTAAACCCTGGACTCTAGACCCTGGAAAAACCCTAAACCCTAGGCCCCAGACCGTAAAACCCTAAACCCTAAAACCCTAAACCCTAAAACCCTAAACCCACCGCAGGGTAGCAGAAAGGCGAAGGCGCAGGGTTTAGATCGTCTGCAAAACCCCACACTAAAGATACAAC